CCACAGCTTCCCCCAACCCCCCACAATGCTTCTCAACCCCCCCCAAGGCTCCTCAATGCCCCCCCCTCCCCAATTCCTCAACCCTCCCAGGCTCCCCCCTGCTCCCCCAAGGCTCCCCACCCTCCTCCCCATCCAGCGGAAGGCTAAGCCCCACCGGGCCCCCCATCCCGCTGGGAGACCCCTCCTCTCCATCTCCATCACCGGGGGACGTGTTCGACCGTTGGTGCTGTCCGTATGTCCTGCTGCGAGCGATGCCAGGGGGTGCGGGGCTGCAGCTGTCCCCCCTCCCTGCCATCAAGGGACCAAACCCCCCCTCCCCTCCCAACCCTGGGGTGCCCCCGCTCAGAGCGGGGTGACCCTACGTCGGAAGCAGCCGCAGGTGAGGCACCGCAGGGCGCCCATGCTGAGGTGGAAGAGGGTGCCGTAGTTGAAGAGCAGGCGGTAGTAGGTCCTCACGGACAGATCCCCCGAGGGATCTGCGTACTTGAGGGCCACCAACGGCGTGTAGAGGTGGTTGGTTTGCGTGCGGAAAGCCGGGCGCCTGGCTCCAATCACATTCACGATCGCCTGTGAGCAGAGAAAGGGGGGCTCAGGGCCGGCGTGGGGCTGGGAATGACCCCCAGAAGCGCCCCCACCCAACTCCTATCAGCCCCACACCTCGGCCACGGCTGTGGGGCTCTGCCCCAGCGTGGTGAAGATCTCGTGGGAAGCCGGCAGGTACACGTCCTTGAAATCCCGCACAGTAGCCGGGTCGGTGCCGGGAAACTCAGAGCGGGAAACCTCCTCCATCAGCTTCAGCTCAAAATCCGTGTTCACCGGGCCCGGTTCCACCATGGAGACGCTGCGAGGCCGGGATGGGTGCTCAGGGTGGGGGTCCCGAGCCACCCTTGGACCCTCTTTGGGTCCCCCCTGTGCCTCCCCTCGCACTCACAAGACGTTGAACTGCAGCAGCTGCACGGCCAGGCTCTCGCAGAATCCCTCCACAGCGAACTTGGAGGCGGCGTAGACGTCGTTGAAGACGATCCCTGCGGGCGGAGAGGGGCTGAGCGCAGTGAGACCCCCCCTCGGAGTGAGACCCCTGCCACAGCGGGACCCCCCCCATCTCCCCTCACCCTGCAGCCCCATGACACTGCTGATGACCACGATGTGACCGCTCTGCCGCCGCTTCATCTCGGGGAGAACGGCCTTGATCATCCTCACGGCCCCAAAGAAGTTGGTCTCGAAGATGCGCTTCATCTCCTCCACGCTGATGCTCTCCACGGGACCGACGTGCCCCACGCCGGCGTTATTCACTGCGGCGTGGTGTGGGGGGGGCTCAGAGACCCCCCCAGCCGCCCCCTGGAGCCCCCCCCCCAGCACCCC